AGATTGTTCCTCCTTCCCCGGCAGAGCATCTGGTGGGTTCGAACCGTGCGCCCCTGGGATTGTAGTTCCAGTTCCTTACCACTAGGCCACCAGAGCTCCCATCTTTTTCCCTCGTAACTGCCGGCAGGTTCCAGCCACCAGAGAGGGCTGGCCCTTGGGTTAGCCGTGCAGTGAGTGTGCTTTGCCGGGAGATGCCCCAACTCCTCAAGTATCTGTTGTAAATCTTAACCTCTATGCATATGATTATAATCACATTTAGTTAATTATGCTAATGAAGCAGGACTTGTGTATGCTATATTTTTAATCAGTCTCTTTAGAAAAATGTTACTATGTTCTGCTGGAGAAGGAGGCGCAATATCCTCCTGTATCAGTCAGATCTGATTTGAAGGTACACACACACAAAATAATAAAATAAAATAAAATAAAATAAGTTACTTTCGTTGCTGAAATATGTTACTTTTGTTGCTACTGTGCCCATTGCGTCAGAGACCATTCGTAGCTGACTCCAGGAGGCTGTAACTTGAGCAGAAGAGTGTCTGTCTTTGTCCCTCAGGAGCAGCTGGTGGATTTGAACTGCTTCTGTTTGGGTCAGCAGGGCCATTCCTTAACCCCCACCACAGATTCCTCTTTTGAGGTTCAAAAGAGATTGAACACGTGAACTAGGACACAGAGTTGGTGGAGAAGTAGATGCCAAACCACATGGAGATCTTTAAGGACTCAGGAGACAGATGCTGAAGAGACAGAGACTTCCCTTCGACCCTACAGAGGGAACCCCCTTCCCCAGACCTCTGCTCTGAAGTAGGACTTCCAGCCTGCTAAATTGTGAGAACATAAATTCCTGTTTTGTTTGGTTTTTAAATATTATTTTTTGTTTTATTGTGATTTTAATAACATTTACAGAAAAGTGTGTGTGTGTGTGTGTGTGTGTGTGTGTGTGTGCGTGCGCGCGCGTCGTTGTCAAATCAGATCTGACTGGTACAGGAGGAGATTGCCCCTCCTTCTCCAGCAGAGCATCTGGTGGATTCG